CTATGGGCTGCCTGCAAGGCTCTCGATCGAGTCGCAAAATGTGAAGGTGTGAGTGATTCCCGTATGCGATGGATGAGCGATGATGCACCATTGTTAGCACACCACTATTATCTGTGCGGTAACGAAAGTAAATAAATATTCAACATTCTTACCTTGAATAAATCTGAGTAATTATGAGCCTTAAATGATAAAAATAACTCACTTGATTGAACTATTTATTTTTTAGCGATTACGGCCTGAAAACCAGTTCGCTTACTGAATTAGGATGCTACAGGCCAAGTACGCCACAATAACTAAGTCAAAATCCTCATGGAGATACTAGTATGCAACTGTGCTGGCTCTAAATCCAAACCAAGGACAAGGCGGGCAAATGATGTTGCACATCAATATTTTGGAAGCTTGGAAAATATAAATTTCTGATGCTTGTGATAGAGCCTACAAAACCACTCTAAAAGCGTCAAAGAATACTGATCAAAAAGAATTTTTTTCGATCAGATGCAAGAGATTGAGCAAAAAATATGAATAAGAAATTGATAAAATGACTTGCACCTTTTACTAGGTTAAAAATATGCCGGTACATATAAAATTGGCTTTAGGATAATTACACTTGCACTTACTTGGATATGGGTACCGAATTCAACCCATTTAGTGAACTTGTGGGCCCAGCAACTGGTCAGCACGATTCTGGAGATCTTAGACAAAACAATGAAAAGGACGTCATTCAGGATATTTTCCTTATTTCGTGTACCCGCGGTACAGTTTCCTCTGCTTTATTTCGTTTTGGCTGTTTCTGGCCTTCTTCCTTTGCCTACATGCAGTTATTGTGATATCATCTATTTACTTCTTTGATATTGCTGAAATTCAGGTGCTTAGGCAGTCATATTATTTTTACTCATTCCCGGGAATAGCAACATATTTAATCACGGACACATGAAGCCGATTCGACATCAGTTCTACCACTAGATAACCACTCGTTTCTCAGGAAAAGGCTTAAACGAATATTGGATCATTGTAGGTGTTTGAGTCAATACATGCGATGAAGGACGAATCCCACCTATCAGGAGAGGATTAAGCCAACTGAATCCGTGGATGTTTTACATGCAAACGATTTCCGTTGCAGTCTTACTATTTCTAAATGTGTACTATGGACCTTTATAGGAGGGTACAATATTTGAGTTCTTACCCTTTCAATACTATGTCGATGTAATTAATGATAAGTAAAGCCCAATAATGCCAATGTGTTATGAACTCTGACAAAAAATTTTTGTAATTGAGCTTCCTGACAAAATATATTTTCCATCCGTATAGTTTGTTCAGTCGTGCCCAACTCTCGGCGTCCTGGTTATCTGCTAACCTGCTGCTATAACTCTCCCTGCTGCCTGTTAAAGTTTAGCGTTTGGTTCCTTTTGGTCCTCCCATATCTTTAGTTGCTGGAAGGCATGTTTTCATAACGGCCGTTCATAGCTTTTATTATTATTTTTTGATTTTTAAGTTAATTTTTGCAAGTAAACCAAAAACTATGAGCTTAGGTTTTTGTCCTCCGTCGTTTATGTACAGACAGCGCAGCAGGAGAACCAAAACGAAAACTACAAATTTTAATCGATTAATATTAACCTGTATGTTGAGGCCGACAAAAATTAATGTACGGACTCGGGAGCGCTTTATCGTCGCTTTGTATGCAGTATGTTTAAGCACGGATTGTCCAGCAAAAATATTGTGAATCGAGAACCGTATACATATATAAAATATAGCTGGTCAAGTAGGAAAACTTATTACCAACAATTTTATGACACAAATGATGACCAGAAAAATTTGTCTGGCGAAAATTTGTGCTCATCCTTTGACTCGAAATTTATAAAACAGACGGTAAATATGTTTTCGGTGAACAATGTTGAATTTCATTTGAAAATCAAATATGAGCCAGGAGCGAACTGCCTTTCTGAATTGTCTGGATAATGCTAAACTCATTTGATCTATAGTATTATTTTTAGAGCAGTTCTGAGTGGTTTAGCAGTGCAGTTTCCCCTTCACAAACAAAATTATAAAATTTATAACACAGATAAATTTCGTTTTCATATATAGAGCTTTCCTCGTTGCAGTGAGCTTTCACTGACTATCTGCCAGTAATACTCTAGTGTGTTAACTGCTAATAGAGGTTGCGAGCACTACTTTCGTCGAATGTTACTGCATTCGAGACAGAAACCATTTAGAATTATTGTTGTCGGGGCCGACTTCAAAAGTTCCACACGCGTGTCCGCTCAAATTCAAATACATGTCTGATCGCATTCCATGTATATCTGTTGCTACTTTAGACCCGGCCTGTCACCAAAATCGGTCATAGATTTTTGTAGTGTGCGAAAACAGTAGAAAGCCTAAAACGAAAGCCTCTTCAAGTAGAACAGACAGAGTCGGCCTCAGTACTGCGTTTTCTTTCTTTGAGAATTCTTTTTGCTGATTGCTTTCTGACACAGCATACTTATTTACGAACAGCTGGTTGGTGCCGCCCAAAATTAATTTTATTGACGGTCAATTTCATTTAAAAACACCCCCATGGGGTTTCTACATATCTTACCTCATCAGTTTCTCTTTCTCTCTGATAATCTTTTTATCTTACCTAGAGCCTCACACCAAACCTTGTTTATTGTTGATTGGAGACGCGAATCAGACGCTGACTTTAGAATCACTTGACCAGGTCAGTAGTTGTTTTCAACTCTTTATCAGACAATTTCACTGCAGATCCTGTTTGACAGGCTAAACTTAGCCACAATAGCACCGGAAAGTGTTCTCCGCACGCCAACTTGCACTGAAGCGGAATACCACTCAGCAACACAATTGGATCCAATCGTTTACCTCTTTGACTGCTACTGCCGTTCCATTCTAGTTTGTCATAAACCGACTGCCTCTTCTCCCGTGGTAAGGTTTTAAAGTGGTTTTTATATTTGAATGGGAAACAGTATTGTAGTCTTATTAAATGATTGTGTTAAGCGCAGCAACTGTGGAGTTTCAAAACGGATATTCTTTCGACTTTGTCTGTTGATTCATGCAGTGACAACCGGCCAGAATGATAACCACCCAGACGCTGAAACCCCCGCTCTTGGTCAACTCATTCTCATGTGGAACATGTATCTAAGCTCGTCAAAAGACAGCTGTAAAAACACCTCACACGTTGGCAAAAATAGTTTACAAATTAAAATTGTTCGTTGTCTCCGAAAAAAACAGTATGATTCCTTAAACTTGCCTTCATCTGATTTTCATCAACGTAAGACTCGATTTTTCACATCTTGACGGAAGATGTCTTAAACTTTCTCCGGCCTATATTGGTGACCCGCTATATCACAACACACAAAAGGTTTGATTCTTTCATTCTAAATGGCACAGAAAAATTGTTTCGTCGAATTAAACAGGCAGTTTTCCTAACTACAGTACGCGTCAGCATTCCTGCAACATGCCGACATATGTGAAATATTGATACTCTTTCGCTAATCGGCATTGACTCAGGTTGTGATACTGATTATTGTGTAGCCTATTCTGAAGCTATCTCAGCCATGATAGGATGCGGGCTTTTCAACGAGCTTCGTTCTGACCACTAACAAAACGTATGTATTGTAAAAAGTAACTACTATAATAGTTTGCGTTCTTATCATTGATTTAGACTGCCCTTATAAATTCAAATATATTCCATGGAAAACATGCACGATAAAATTATTTCTTGTACCTGTTTGGTAGAAAATTACGCTTTCTTTAAATTTTATACTTAAAGCAAGGGTATCCTTCGGTTTTAGAAAAAATCTAATTATGAGCTTTCTTACATCATATGAGTCAATTTATTAAGGCTGCCTATACTGTATTAAGCATGCTCCACATCTATTGGAACATTTAATAAGAACTATGTGACTTCTTCCTCAATCTGTAGGCGAAAATGGACTTTTCCTTAAACAGGATGTACATAGTGCGCAGTTTGTAAAAATTGAATTCGAGTGTAGCAGTCAGTAGGTTTCAAAATTATTCGACAATTTAGAAACTTTTTTTCAAACCGAAAGATACCCTTTCCATAGACCCCTTAATAGTAATAGTAATAATCATACAAATACACTATTTATTTCAGAGAAAATGCACCTTAAGTGGGTTACAATCCGTGGGTAGAATTGGATAACCGAAAGTATATGCTTTTCCGAATTTGTAAACATACCCAATTATTTTTACATTACCTTGCTGGGTCTTGTTGATTCCCGCTGTTAGATTTTTGTGATGTCCTTCTTTTCAGGACTCCACCGCTGAACTGGCCAAAGCTTGTCAAAGCGAAATTTTTAAGCAGGCCGCGCTCTCCCTTCTCCTCGATGTCGAACTAGGTGGTGAAGTTCGCTGCCAAAGTTTGTTTCGGCTGCTGTTGGACAACTCGGGCCCGCAAAGTAAACGCATACCTAATTTGCGCCGATTGTTATCGCGACATCCTTACTTCTAGCTAAACACAAAGTAGTCGTTTTATTTTGCACAAATGTTTCACGTCACAATTTCTCCTCCCGCAAAGGTGATCTTAATCAGGTCGGCCAGCTTGATGCGTTTATGGCCGGTCTCGTGGCTGCCACACAGAGCCAGGCCGATGGCGAGGATGTATCAGCGGATGCTCTGGTCAACTTGCCCCTGAGCGATTCCCAGCTGACGGCATTCCGACCACTGGTTCGTGAATTAACTCAGCGACTCAAGGATTTAGGCAAAATTGATGAGGCTGGATCGGAGGCGCCTCCAGGCCCACTGCAAATTGCGCTTGGTCTGCACAGGAGGCCCAAGCCGAAGGTTGGTCGCCAGGCGCGCCTGCTCTTCCTCCCCGAACGGAACACACTTCTCAACCTGACAACCTGGTTGGCCAAGTATCCCGTCACTGCCCAGGTAATCCAGTGAGAAAAAGGCGAGATAAAAGTTTTTTAGACTAGCACTTCCTTATGGTAAATATCTGGTTGACCTCTCAGAAATAGTTTAAATAATCTAATGGATATGAATTCGTCGTGGTGCCGCCCCTCGGTCTTACGGACACCTGGTTTTAGGGGATAGGATGGTCGGGGTATGTCAGAGAACAAATCAGTTCGCAATAATCCGGCACCATAAAAAGTTACGGGGGTAAGTTGGACGATGTGCCCTGACCTCGGGCGAGGAAAATGAAGTGGATTTTAATATAATCGCTAACCCCTACTGGACCAACGGCGATCACGTGTATATCGGGG